CCCTCGGACCCCCGGACCCCCGCCGGGGCTCGACAACCCTGGCCGAGGGAGATGGATATGAACTTGAGTTGGACCTGGGCGGTTCCGGCACAAGCGGCGAATATCATGTTGTGAGGTGGCGCTGTTCGGTGCCTAGTCTAACAAGCCGGTTGTGTCGTGCTTGTTCCTCAACAACATCGGAGAAGGTGATATGAGAGGGATTAGGGAGAAGGGTAGAGGAACACATGCCAGTGATGAGCTCGACCGACGGGGTGAGAGACGTCGTCAGGAGGGGGGCAGGCGGAGTAAACTGCGACGCCTGAGTGTCATCCGGTGGGGTATGTGTCACCGAAGGTGGGGGTGGCAGACGGATCGTCGATGCCAATAGAGGGGCCGGTTGACTAGTTGTCAATGCCGGGGCGGGGTCGCGAGAGGCAAGGGGACGGTGTTCATGTGTGGGAGGGTCCCGATGTCACGGATGGTGGGGTGGCGGACATGACGGGCTGAGGTCCCGTGGAGCGGGGAGCCTGTCGAGTGAACTGGCTAGTGTTGGGGCAGCTGGTTTGCTGTAGGCCCAACTGGCGACACCGAAAACAGCCATTGTTGCTTTGGAGGTAGGCACGTTTCTCCAGGGTGAGCTTTGTTAAGCGAGGGGGCGAGGTGGAAGAAGATGTGTGAGCTTGACGGTTCCCGCGCTCCATCCTGAGGAGATGGATGGTGTTGACTTTGTCCTCGGTGAAAGATGGGGGGTCGGTAGTAGTGGACTCGGTGTCGGGGTCAGGTGTGGAGAACTCATCCGTCATCGTGGTGGTGAGGGTGTCGTCGGAAGCAATGTTGGGGAAGAAACGCGTTCGGGAAGGGACGGAGGGGATGGCGGCCTTGTGAGTTGAGAGGAGAGTGTCGATTTGGAGAATGTGGGAGAGAAGATCGGGTAAGGTTGTGGTGGACTCATGGACGAGGACAGCGGTGATTTCGCGGTTGGAGACCCGCTTGAGGCGGGAGATGAAAGTGCCGTCAACGATCAGGTGGACGGGAATATGTTGTCGTAGTGAGCAGACATATTGGACGTAGTGCTCGGTGGGGCCATTTTGGTGAAGGCGGCAGAATTGGTTGATGTAATCATCGATGGACTTTTGTGGCCGGAAGGTGGCTGTGATCAGCGTAGCCCACTCGAGGAAGGAGTGCGATGGCTGGCCGCTGAGTTGGCGGTTGGTGACTTCGGTGAGCCACCAGCGGGCGCCGTTGGCGAGGAGTCCTGTACCGGCTATGGGTAGCCAGTGGATGACGGGGACGGTGTGGAGGTAGAAGGCTTGTTGGAGTTGGCTGAGAAAGAGAGATACATCCTCATTGGGGTTACAATGTTGTGGGCCCGGAATCTACAGGGGATTTCGCCATAACTAGGGACGCGGGTAGCGAGTGCGTTGAAGTCGAGGGTGGTTGAAGCGTCAACGAGGCAGGTGAAGTCATGTTGGGGGTTTGTTGGGAGGAGGGCGTTCGGGGGATGTTGGGGGAGAGCGGGGTGTGACTTGGCGGTGACCTGGGAGTAGGTGGGCATCCGGAGGGAGGTGACGATGGATGTTGTAGAGATGGGTTGTGAGAGGGGAGGTGTGGGTACGGATTGGGTGCCGAGGGGCTGGTGCGGTAATTGGGCAATGAGAGGGGTGGAGGGAGGAGGTGGGTGGGACACGCCGGTGGTGGCCGTTGGGATGGGGGTGATAGAGGCTGGGGTGGCGGATGGACTGGCGGTGGAAGGAGATAGAAGCGGTGGAGGTGGGAGTGGCGGATGGACTGGCGGTGGAAGTGGAGGTAGAAGAGGTGGAGGTGGGAGTGGGAGTGAGGAGAGGAGGACGTGGGGGCATACTAGAACCCGATGTGGAAGTGGGGATCGTGGCAGCGACCACCTGGATGGAAGGGGTCGGTGTTTGTGCCATGTTATCTATCCGGCTGGAGAGGCCATAGATGGAGGTGACGAAGGAGGATTGGAGTGCACAGATGGTGTCTTGCATGGATCGCATCATGATGAGTAGGGAGGTGTTGGTAAGGGTGACGTCAGGTGGGGGTTGGTCTGCTGTGAGGTCATGAAGCAGGCTGTCCACAGATGCGGTGTCAATGGCGCTCATGTTGATGCTTGAGCAACTGTCCGCCATTGTAGACGGAGAGGCCGGGGGCGCGGGAGTAGAAGTAGCGGTGGAGACGGAGGCTGCAGTGGCGTTCTCAGCAGCCCAGGCGGCGGCGCGCAGAGAAGTCTTGGTGTGGCGGGTCATGGGAGAGAAGAAGAAGTGTGAATTTTGCCTGATTTTTTGGGTATGCAAGGAAAATGAACAGAAGCGAGATGACAATATTCAGATTGCACAATCACATTGAAAGCCAGATCGTATCACAATGTTCAGAAGGTAGCATTGCACCAATATGACACCAATAGAGAATAGTAGCACTGAAAGCCAATGTCAGTGAGAGCTTGCTCTCGCCACCACCAACATATGTATCCAGTCCCTAACTCCCTACTTGGCGCTCTGCGCCCAGCCTACTCCCTGCACAGCTACTACTAGCCTACTAATTGACAATGCAACTGTTGACGTCCGCAGCCTCCGAAGTACTTGAAGATGTCGCCCGCAGCAGACTATCGCCAATACCAGGTATGAGCCCTCACATCATCATCATCATCATCCTTCTCTCTCTCTCTCTTGACTTTCTCCCATGTCTTCCCTGTTTACACCCGAAGACCACCCCTGCGCCTCACTGTACATCCAAGCCCTGCCAGCTATGGTGCTGCCTTCAGCAGCGCCCTGTTCCCTGCACGACCGCACGTGCTCGCACCCCGTCTCTCAGCGCTAGCAGCAGCCCGCAAGCTTCAGCTCCAGCAGCACTACCGCCAGCATGCGAGTGCCCGAATGCCTGGCCTGGCAGCGAGCTCTTTCCTATATGGAAAGAGCCTGCCTCATTCGGCAGCCTGGCTGGACTGGCCTGGGCCCAGAAGCTTCCGGTAGGCCCCAGGATGCTGCGTGAAACGGTATTCACCAGTTCGCAGTAGCTGATGCAGATCCCAGGGCTCAATCCCTAGTTCCCCACCTTACCTGTGTACAGTATCTGTGTGAACCCGTAGAGTTGAACCTGCGACCTGTAGGACCGCCAGTGGTAGGTAGGACATCGTAGGTTACAGGGTATAGGGGATTCGAACTGTAGACCTGTCGGGTAGGAGTCTAGCTAGTCCAGAGGTCTTAGTTGTAGACGTTCCGAAAGGTCAAATTCGTAGCTGCTACTTACCGGAAAGGGCAGAGTCGTAGCTGCTACAGTACCGAAAGGCCAAGTAGATGTTTCTAGAAGTGGCCTTTCGGAAGTCAGCCCACTGTAGGTCCAGGCAAGTGGGCAAGTGGTGGAAGTCCACCGTGCAAAGTCAGCAGTCCCAGTCCAGTCAGTCTGGTCCAGTCAAGCAAGTACCGTCTGGGACTGTGTACACCGTGGGCCCGGGGTAACAGGGCAGACCAACGAGTCACAGAAGTATAAATCAAGAGGCCGCGCACAGCCATTCATTCATTCCTGCGTGAGCCATGCGGAAGCGCTGCCTCAGCGTCTTGCAGCGGAAGAGGTCTGCAGTATGCCCGAAGTCGAAGTGGGCCAGAAGAGCGTAGCATAGCGATAGTGTAGAGGCAGCCATGGCTGCCATAGCTGTAGTCAATGTGTGTGTGTGTTGTGTGAGTGTGCAGAGTGATGCGTGTGGGATATCCAGGGCGATCCAGTCTGTGTGAACAGTGGGTTGCTGGGCGCTGAGACGCCATAGCCAGTGGAAGTGAACTCTTACCTGGAATCCATATCTCTGAGTGTTGAGTGGGCGCATGTCGCCAGTTTGCTGTGCTGCTGTTCACGTGCATGAAAAGTGTGAAAGAAACGAGTCTGATTGCATTGGTATCAGAGCTGGTACCCGCTATTCCATGCGCACCGTCGTGTGCAGGTACTGAGGCGCCATAGCAGAGGTGGCTGCCGAGGGAGACAGTCCGCCATAGCGGACCTGAGGTTGGAGAAGCCGCCGCGCACCTGCAAGGAGACCACGACGAAGAAGAAGAGAGAGAGAGAGAGAGAGAGAGAGAGAGAGAGAGAGAGAGAGAGAGAGAGAGAGA